CAATAGAACACAAGAACCACCGATAAAGATGTAAGTAAGTTATTACATACTTCAAGTTTTTGGTAGCATCAGGCCAGAAGGTTAGTCATTTCATTTTATCTGCATGCAATTTATCTTTGATAATGAGTTTTGAAGAAACCGTCGAGAGAAATAGAAAAATTAGAGGTTCGGTTCGTACCAGTGTAACAAAATTAATAAGGAAATTAGATGAGGAATTGCAAAGCGAGAATCCGAACCTAGAGGTGTTGCAGGAATCGCTTTCAGTGTTAATCGAGAGAGAAACTAGCTTGTTAAAATATGATGAAGTTATTAATGCTCAAAGCACTGTTCAGGAATTAGAGACAGAAGTAGAACATTGTTTAGAATACAGCGAATCCATCATTAGATGTAAATCGAAAGTCAATAGATATATTCAAAATGTGGGTAAAACGGAACAACTTCACAAGTTTCGGAAATCAAAACTAATTATAATACTAAATTGCCTCGCATTACCTTAGAAACTTTCAGCGGCGATTTATGTAAATTTACTGAATTTTGGGCTCAGTATAAAGCTGCCATTAACGAAAACAATACGCTTCAAGATGTTGAGAAGTTTAACTATTCAAGATCTTTACTCACCGGGTCAGCTGCAAAAGCTATAAGCGAATTGCCATTAATAGGAGAAAACTATATAAAGGCCATCGAAATTTTAACTGACAGATTTGGGAAAAACGAAATATTAGTTAGCGCGCATATGAACGTTCTACTAGCTTTAGAGCCACTACGCCGTTCAAGTGATGTATCCAGTTTAAGAAAACTATATGATGAAATAACAGTTCAAACAAGAAGTTTAGAGACATTAAATATTAATTTTAATTCTTACGGCAATCTATTTTTTCCTATTTTATATAAGTGTATACCGCAAGATTTAGTGTTACAGTTTAGTAGTAGGGAGCAAAAGGTCGACACAGAGTCAACAGTGTCAGATTTATTGTTGTTTCTAAAGAGAGAGAGAAGTAGAAGCGCGCGAAAAGTCATTAACTCTGGGTCTGAAACAACAAACACTTTCGATAACCAGTGAAAGAAATACCGACAACTATCGTAAGAGTGTTGCTCCAATTAAAAGAAAAAATGGTATCAGCGGCGACGCTTAATACATCAGTCGAAAATTATATGTGCCACTTTTGTCTTAAATCTCACCTCTCAAAAGACTGCGACTTAAGTATTTCAGAGAAACGCAAAGCACTATACGATCAATTTAAGTGCAAGCGCTGTTTAAAAAAGGGTCACAAAAAACCATTTTGTAAGGCAAAGTGGGTTAAATGTAATATTTGCAAATCTTAGTCGCATTTAGAGAGCCTGTGTGATGCAGAAGGGCAAGAAAATAAATCCATTAAAAATACTGCAAGCGCAGCAAAAGAGACAAACGTTAGTTCACTATTCCTCGAAACACTGAGCAAGCAAATTCCTAATGACGTGATTTATTATCAAACATTGAGAGGTCAACTGGTAGGAAATAATTTCACATTTAACGTTAGGTTGTTATGCGATTCAGCTTCCGAAAGATCTTATGTTTGTTAGTCTATTTCCAGAAAAGCAAGTTTACCAACTATTGGTAAAGAAAGATTAAGAATTCATACATTTGCATCTTCGAATCCGCCAGTGCGAGAATTTAAAAGGAAAAAGACTTTCTCTTGAAAAATAAGACCGGGTTCACTCTAATCATCGAAGCACTCGAAGTAAAAACCATATGTTCCAATGCTTTACCCAGGCCATCTGCAGAAATTATAAACAATCTTCGCCAACAAGGATTTCACTTATCTGACAGCTGCGATAGTGAAGTGGCAGAGGTACAGATTTTAATAGGGAATGATTACTTGAACTGCATTGGAGAAAACACGTCGGTTAACAGACTATTTAGTACTGCATGAAAGCATATTTGGTTGGACGTTGAGTGGTAGAGTGGGGGGAGAGAGTAGTAAGAAGCTAAGTTCAGGGTCAGACTCCACCGGCTTTGTTTTTATACACATCGATTCGGAAGAGGAATTAAAAATATCGGAACAGATTCGTCAGCTTTGGGAGATTGAAAGTCTAGGAATCTCTGAGTGCGCGTCGGAGAAGGAGTTCTGGCGATGAGCTAATAATTAAACAATTTGAAGAGGATTTGAAATATGTAGACGGGAGGTATGAGGCTCGCTTGTTGTGGAATAGTAGGAGTCCAGAGCATTTGGAAAATAATTTTGGTTTAGCGAAAAGGCAGTTCGAAAGGGTACAGCGAGAGTTAAAAGGTAACAGCTTTGTGAGGGAACAGTTTATGGAAATAATTAAATTTCAGACACAAAACAACATTATTCAAGAGTGTGAGGATACGAGAGAGGGGTATCGTTTCAATTCAGTAAAAAACAGATCATTCAAAATTCTAGATAAGCAAATAAAGAAAGGTTGCTTACCTTTATGATCCGCTTTCTTCGATTCTGGTCCGCCGCTTTAGTAGACTCCGATTTGGTTCCAAACTCATCTAAAATTGGCACTATTTTGTATGAATCACTTTATTTGACATTTGACACAAAAGAGGAACAATATCTAAATCATTACACTATCAAAGAACACTTCTAACTACTTAGCATCATTGTTCTACATATCTAACAGCGTCATTAGTCTACTGCGTCACTGTTCTAAAAGCATACGCTTATCGTTGCCAGTTCTCAAAAAAACAAACTTTCTTTTTCAATTCTCGTCGGTCTGGAGGCTCAACCCGTTCCCCAAGAGCGGAGCGTGCGTCGTTCGCGACAAGGGGTACTTTATGCCATTCCGAGCAGTGGTCCGTAAAGATAAAAAAAGCACTCAAGTTCGAATGGTATTTAATTGCAGCAGTTGCGAAAGAGGAAAGCTATCGTTAAACGATTGCTTAGAAAAGGGCCAAAACCTAAATCCGAATATTTTGGATATCATTCTTGCCTTTCGAAAATTTAAAATTGGATTCTGCGGTGACATAGAAAAGGCGTTTTTGTTGATTGGGATAGCAAGGGAAGATAGGCAATATTTAAAATTTCTCTGACATCCTGATAATGACAGTGAGGACTTTAAAATTATGCAAATGAACAGAGTATTATTTGGATGTAATTGTTCACCGTTTTTATTGAGTGCAACGATCAAACATCATTTAAAGAAATATGCGGAAACAAACAAAAACTGTGTCGAGATGCTAAATAGCTCACTGTATGCAGACGACGATTTTGTGTTATGGAGGGGAAAGTGTAGAATCAGCTTTCAGTCTTTCATCAGAGGCGGTATCTATTTTGAGAGACGCGAGTTTTTAATTTGAGAAAGCTAAACACTAATTCTAAAGAAGCTGTATGACTTGTGGGTTCAGGAAGGGTTGTGTGAAGAAAGTAGGTCTGAGAGAGATAGTAAGTTGAAAGTGTTAGGCTTGGTGTGGAACTTAGAAGAGGATGGTTTGAGAGTAGACGTTACATCATTGTTGAGTAGTTTAGAATCGTTGAGAAATAGTAAAAGATCGGTGTTAAGCACAGCAGTTAAGATGTTTGACCCAGTCGGATTTATTTTTCCATTTGTGGTGCGAGTTAAGAGACTGATTCAGGAAATAGAGGTTTGGAGTGGGATGCAGAGTTGCCAAAGGAGTTACGGTGCAAATGGATAAAGTGGTGCGCTGAAATTGAGGAATTAAACGCGTTGAAAATAGAGAGGTACTACTTTACAGAAGTTAAGTAAAGGTCAGTCGGTTGAAATTCATATTTTCAGTGATGCGTCAGTAGTGGCATATGGAGCGGTGGCATATTTTAGATATAAGAATGAGAGAGGAGAGGTATGTACGTCGTTTATAATGTCGAAGAGTAGGAGGATAGCTCCGTTAAAAAGTTGTCCCTCCCTAGGTTGGAATTGATGGGGGCTGTAGTTGCAGCTAGGTTAGGGAAATATTTATTGAAAATGTTTCAGGATTTGGTAGGTAGGTTAGTTCTGTGGACGGACTCCGAAATTTGCTTGTGGTGGATAAAGGGGTCAGCGCGTGAGTGGAAGCAGTTCGTGTCGAATAGAGTTGCAGAAATACAAGACTGTACCTCGCCTGATAAGTGGAAATATTGTCCAGGGTCGGAAAACCCAGCAGATAAATTAACTCGTGGTGAAACAGCAAATGCATTGGTGAAAGATAATAACTGGTGGCATGGTCCATCATGGTTGAAAGATTCTGAAGATCAATGGCCTGAGCAGAAGTTTAAAGTAGAAACTGATACTCAAAATTTGGAACGTTTAAGCACTTATGTTCAGGTGACTATTCCAGAAGAAGAAACTATGCGTTAGACATTACCAAATTCAGCAGTCTCGAAAAATTGTTGAGAGTTACAGCTTGGGTAAAGCGGTTTGTCGCCAAGCTAAGAAAAACGTGCCTGTGAAGAAGGTCCTTCTTACTGTATTGGAGATCCAAGAAGCTGAGGAGTACTGGATAAAACAAGTACCAGAGAGCGAATTACTTTTTCGGATATTCAACAACTAGAGAGGAATAATCTAATAACACCAGATTCTAAGCTTTACAGTTTAGCACCATATCTGGACAGTAGAGGTATTTTGCGTGTCAGAGGTCGTTTGGAACAAGCAGAATTAATAGATGACGAAAAACATCCCATTATTCTGCCCAAAACGAAGTTCACCGAACTAGTGATATTTAGTGAACACATAAAAGTATTCCATTCAGGAGTCATGGCAACATTGTCCAAAGTCAGGAATAAATTTTGGATACCTAAAGGAAGACAAGTAGTAAAGAAAGTTATTAACGCTTGCCTGGTGTGTAAAAAGTTCGCAGTGAAGCCCGCCAAACAGTTAACGGGTCAGTTACCCAGAGATCGTGTGTAGTCCAAAGTAATCCTTTCACAGTTGTAGGCATCGACGACTTAACGGGAGCAGTTACTATTAGAGAAAAAAGCGGGTATAACCACAAAAAGGTGTACATAGCCTTATTTACATGCGCCGTCACTCGTGCTGTACACATTGAAGTGGTTTCAGATATGTCAGCAAAAAGTTTCATTTTTTCATTACGACGTTTTTTAGCAAGAAGAGGGAGCTGCAAAGTGATTTATTCAGATAATGCCAAGAATTTCCGCAGCACATGTGAAATAATTAAAGGATTTAAAAGAATCAAAGCAGATCCAAGTGTGAGTGATTTCTTGACATCCAAAGAGGTAACATGGAAATTCATACCTGAGCGTTCCCCATGGTGGGGAGGGTTCTGGGAGCGTTTGATGAGAAGCATCAAGGAACCTCTGAAGAAAATCTTAGGGAGAGCATTACTGACTTTCGAAGAGCTCTCTACAATATTAACTGAACTCGAGTGTGTGCTAAATAATAGACCTCTAACATACGAGAGCAACGAGCTGGGTGAACCTCGCCCGCTCACACCTTCACAGTTTTTATTGCCAGGACGTGGTACATTTAACTTTCCCGAGCATTTCTTGGAAATTTTTAACAAGGTATCCGACAAAGAGACTTTAACTAGGAGGAGCTTTTCGGTCAAGTCTCTAACCTCTTCGGAACAACAAGACCTGACTAGAAGAGAGCTTACTAAAGCTAGTTCAAATTGTAGTAATAACAGGATACAGACGAAGGTAACAAAACCTTTATTTTTTTCTTTATACTCCGTACTGAACAATACCCTCCACGGGTCTAACTAAAAGATCAAAATAAAACTAAACTCTAATTTAACTTTAGAATAAGATTGGCCTTATAATAACAGGAAGCGTATGTAGCACAGAGACTGTGAACACTACAATACGTTTAATTTATCAAGAGGATTAAACCTCTGGCCTGGAAGGCAAAGTAGCAACTGCGTACTTCTAAGGTAAGCGGCCTGCTTCGAACTCACGGCTTCCTCTCTTCTGCTTGCAAAAAGGCCACACTTAAATACTTGGTTCGCCAGACAATTTTGCATAACTCCTTCACGCTTATAATTCTGCCCGGAAGTAGAAAATAAGAAGTGATAGGAAGATTTAAAATAAAATAAACGTTAGTAAAACTTAAGATCCTTACATACTTCCCGCCAGAGTTAATTATTTGAAACTGAGGTCTAAAACGACCTTGTTGAAAACTTTTAGCTTCTAGAAACTAACGCGAGGCCAAACTTTTACAATCATAACTAGCTAGAAACTAGAAAATTTTAAAAAGAAAGAAATTTGTTACAATAGCAGCTCCCGGAATATACAACAATCTTTTTTCTTTTCATCTGTACTGCATCAAAACAGGAGCTTTATTCATTCTGGTTCCTTCCAGAGATCTGGAAGGAAAACTAGTTTGAATGAAATGTTACAGAATGACATTGCAAATAAATATAGAATATACTTTTCTTAACATTCTTATTTCATTCATGACTATTTTAATTATCTCTCCCCGTGCTCTCTGCATGTGTTGTAAAAACACCAAACACGAATGTGTTTCTGTCTATGTGTTCAACACTTCTTCCTACAATCAAACACTAACGTGTTAAAATTCAACATACGAGACCTCTTAAACACACCTAATTTAACTCTAGACCCTGAGGTACTATTCTGAAAGTGGTAACTCTAAAGTGTAGCGTCAGAGAGCCTAACTACCCTTCAACCTTTAACACATATTCACCATGATTTAATCTTTACAGTCACACGAATAACAAATTTTTTAACATTACTTCACTTTACCATATCACGGATATTTCTAAAAATTCAAAAACAGTTCAACATGTATACAAGAACGTATAAAGATGCCGTTAATTTTACACATTTGAAAACATACATTAGTATACATTGTAACTTCTATTCTTTTCAAAGCAAGTGCCAATTCTTTTACATTGAAATAATACTACATTTCAAAAAGTCTTTCAGACTAAAACTTCTTTTTGTTAGAATGTTTTAAATAAAATTTATACAATAACTTTTTACAATATTTAAGTCTTTATACAACGCTATTATACATCAACTTTAGTTTACGCGCGAGTAGTAAATGAAAAACATAATAAGAAAAATCGGTCACAACTCATTTCTCGCCCTTTGGCGATAAAGGTAGACCTCGCATGAGGTAAAACTTCTTGAAATCTGCCACTTGCAGTAAGAATGAAAGATTAACTTAAGTTTGTAAATTAACATAAAATTTTACTTATCTTTGTAATATTCAGACATCCTTTTCTGGGCCAATCTTTAAAGGTGCTGCAGACCGAAGCTGGTTGATCCTCCTTCTTGTACGGGCTCGCCCTTCAGTGCTTCCTCTGGAAGCTTCCGTTTTTCACCAGTACGGCCACCCTTGAACATCTTCCTTTGTCCTCTGCTTGTGGTCTTGGCCGTTTGAAGGCAGCTGGTCTTGGTGGACCGGGAAATTCTGTCGTGATCCTGCTTGGACCTCGTGTTGGCCGTTCAAATTTTTCTTGTATTTTTTCCTCCGCCGCTGATGGCCCCTCCGCAGTTCGGCGACTTTTGCTGCGGAGAGTGTCTGTCGGATGAGTCAATCTTCCGTTTCACAGCCGGGTTATAGTTGCCGTCCTTTTCCCGGTCTTTTCCACATACGTCGTCCTTCTCCTTCTTCATTCTGGGGGTGTTCGTGAACTCTGTTTTTTGGACGGTGGAACGGCTTCTTTTTCTTTGTACCTTCAATTTTTTCCGCGGGGCAATTTCTTTTCACTTGCTTCTGTCTCTCATGCTTGCCCTTGTACTTGTCGTTTCCCACCTCTGGAACTTGTACCTGCGGGGTCTGCCGTACCGGATCCTGCAAAGATCTGAAAAGATTTGCATTTTATTACGGTCATAGAATGTTTTATCTGTCATGTTGCGGAAGGTTTCACCATTTCTTGCCTTTAACACTACAATAGCGTGAGTTCTTTTTTCTATAACATGGTCCTTCAAAGCGTGGAAAAAATTTGGCAGTTTTATTCTGGTGCTGA